GATGTGCAGGGGCGGGCGGCTCCGTGCACGCGCTGCCCTGGGCTGCAGGAGGGAGCCCGGCATGGGGATGGGCAGCCCAGCCCATCCTGCCTGGGCTGCTGAGCTCCAGAGGGGCAGGGGCTGCAGGGGGCTCCCTGGAAGGGGGTTGGGGAACCTGCGAGCTGGACTCGCCCGGCCAGGCTGGTCCTGGAGCTGTGGGGCTGAACCGAGGTACCCCAGTAACCACGGGAGGTGCTTGGAGTCACCCACGGGATGAAAAGTGTCAGAAAAGGGTCTTTGGAAAAGAGACCCATCAGAAAGGGGTCTCCCCCCCCAGCGTGGGGGTGCGAGCTGAGCAGCAGAGCTCAGGAGGGATTTGTTGGGCATGAGGCAGCCTGCAGCAGTGAAATGCCTTAGCGGTGACCCCGCTGCCCCTCCCAGAGCAGGTTTTTTTGGGGGCTAAACCCAACAGGCTGAAGCTCTGGTCTGCCGTGAGCCGCCGTCCCAGGCGCTGCGGTGGGATGCCCTAATGGAGACATTCCCCATCTCCCCCCCCCTCCTCTCCTCTCTCCGTAGCGCATGTCGGCGCAGGAGGCCATGCCAGTGATGAACGGAGCCTCAGGCCCAGACAGTGACGGGTACAACCACTGGTCTGAGATGAAGCCAGCACAGCCCAAATCTTTATCTCCTCCCCAGCCTCAGAAGCAGCTGAGTGACTCTTACTCCAATACACTCCCAGTTCGCAAAAACGTGCCACCGAAAAACAGCTACGCATCAGGTGAGGCTTAGTCCTCCCCGTTCTCCGCGCCGGGGGCTCCCGGGGTGCCGGGTGGCGCTTGCGGGGAGCGATCAGCAGGGACCGGTCACAGCCGTGGTGAGCAGCGACTGGCAGCATCGCTCCGGCATCAAGCGCCGCTCGTGCCTCTGGACCCGGGGTTCAGGAACAAGCAGAGCTGGGCTCTGCCGCAGCGCCGGCTGGGGGGGCTTCAGCCGGGTGGGCTGCTCAGCCCACGGACAGGATTATTTCCAGGAGGAAAAGCGTGGGGAATTTCGCGTAGGGAGGCTGTTCCCTTCGCCACGGCTGGTGGGCGATGCCAGGAGCAGTGGCCCGGTCCTGCTCACTTAGAGGGAATGTGCGAGTCGAACACCGAAGGTTTTATTGGTACCTGGGGTACCAATTTTATTTTTTACATGGGGTAAAAAACCTGAGGGACCAGCCCCTGCCTGAGCCTGGGTTTGGCCACGGGGTGACGGACTGGGGGGGCACTCACATACAGAATCACACAGAATCCCAGACTGGCAGGGGTTGGAAGGGACCTCAGGAGCTCACTCATTCCCACCCCCCTGCCCAAGCAGGCTCACCCAGAGCAGGGGGCACAGGACAGCGGCCAGGCGGGGGGTGGAATTTCT